CTTCCACTTCTAATTGCTGCATTCCCCATTGTTTCACCAGTTTCAAACCTTGAAGTAAGGCCATTACTTCTGCCCTTAATGAATCTTCCACCCCAATTGGGCTCGAGTAAAGGGCCAAGGCTTTTCCTTCCTCGTTTCTGTACACACCCCCAACTCCCGACTGACCTGGACTACCCAAGGAGCTTCCATCAAAGTTTAGCTTCACCCTGAACTGAGGCGGTGGTACCCAACATTCTTGTACCACAGGGGAGAAAGGCGAGGATACAGCTTTAGCACTCCAATTTCTAATTAAGTCCACTTAGGAGAAGTCCTAGAAGAGATGGTATACTTTCAGCCAATGCATAACCTTGATGGTGACAACCTCCACAAGTGCTTCCTTGGATTTTTCTTGCCCTAGGAAGATCCTATTGTTTCTCTCTTCCCAAATTGACCATAGGATAGCTGCTCTTGTTATTCTCCACATTACCCTACCCCTTTTCCTTGGTTGTCGGAAGAAGCTAGAGTCAAAAAGGTTCAGCACACCCAAGGGGGGTTCCATCTGTAACCAAACAAAGAAGAGAACCAATCCCACAAATAATAAGCAAAAGGACAAGAAATCAAAAGATGAGTCACTGTCTCACCATTTCTTAAGCAAAGGTAACAGACGTGTGAGGAAAGGCTACAGCCTAGCCTTTTTCTTTAAAGTACATCCATAATATTGATCTTTTGAAGAGCCACTTCCCAACAAAAAGCCCTAACCTTTGGCGGCACAGGAGAATACCAGATTTCTTTAGCAAGAAAAGAGACAGACACAAAAGAAGACTGAACTAAGGCGTAGAGAAAAGATGAACAAGAGAAAGTCCCTAAAGATGACTCTTTCCAAATTCTACTATCTGGGCAGGAAAGATCTAGGAAAACTGAATTCAACACGGTGAATAACTCATTTGCAAAAGCCAATTCTGAATCCCTCAACCCTCTTCTCAAACCCAAATCCCAAGTCCCCTCAGACACACGAAGTGAGGAGATGGTTTTGAATTTATATAGGGAAAGAGAATACATTACCGAGAATCTATCCTTAAGGGGGGTGTTAAACAAAATTTTATTACCTGAGCACACATCAAATCTAATGAAAGGCTGAAAGGAAGGCAAGACTCCAGCAATTGCTTTCCAAGGGGAGAAATGAGAAGCCCTAGAGTCGACGCCAACATCCCATCCATTAGTTGCCATCCCATGAATACTTTCCACCACCAAGTGCCACAAATTGTCCTGCTCCAAAGGATATCTCCACAACCACTTTCCTAACAAAGCTATGTTTCTTAAACTAATATTGCCAATGCCTAAACCCCTTGCTTCCTTTTTCCTAGAAACTACTTCCCACTTCACCAAATGGTCCTTTTTTGAGTCACCCGGTTCCCACAGAAAATCTCTCGTGAGCTTTTCTAACTTATTGGCAACCTTGGCAAGAAGCTTAAAGGTAGACAAAAAATACACCAGAAGTTTGGCTAGAGTGGACTTAATTGAAGTGATTCAACCCCCTAGTGAGATATAACTTCTCTTCCACCCTACTATCATCTTAGTGAATCTTTTTAAAATTGAGTACCAAAAGTTTTATATTCTAGGATTTCCCCCCAGAGGCAAACCCAAATATACCAGAGACCAACCACTCACCTCACAACCTAAAGCCCTAGACACCAACTGCAATTAATCATCCCGTAAATTCACCCTACTACACAACTCTTGTTCCAATTGATTTTCATATTGGAGGCTCTCTCAAAATGCATCACCACCAATCTCAAATTATTCATCTCCTCAATTTCCCCTTCACAAAAGAGAATGATATCATCTACAAACTGTAGGTGAGTGACAATCACTCACTAAGATTGAGTGAAGAGGAAAGGTGACAAAGGGTCTCCTTGTCTAAGGCCCCTCTTTGTAGGAAAGAAATCCCTAGCTACTCCATTCACTAAGATTGAGAAGTGACAAGAGGTAATACAACCCTTCATCCACTTACACCATCTCTCCCCAAAGCCTCTATTCTTCAATACTTCTAGCAAGAAATCCCAATCCACCAAATCATAAGCCTTTTCTAAGTCAAGTTTACATATCAGACCCTTTTCTCCTTTTCTTTTTTTGTAATCCACACATTCATTGGCTGTTAAAATCTGATCAATAATTTGTCTCCCTTTCACAAAGGCCCCTTGATTCGGTGAGATTAAGGAAGGAAGGAATTTTATTCCATCATTATCCTAAAATGTTCTTGTGTCGTAACCCCTCTTCCTTTTATACATTCTATAACAAGTTAAACCAAAACCCTTCCTTTCTTTGACCCTTGCCAGTTCACAATCACCACTTATTATCTCCCCTTCCTACAAGTCCCCATTCACTACTATTACCTCTAGGGCCTCCTCCCTTGTCTCCTCCTAACAAACTTCAGCTTCCCAAACCCCTTTGTCCTAAGATAACATTTGAAACCACCTCAGTCGCTCTTCTTTCCATCCTTTTACTATTCAATCCTCTTTTATTCCCACTAGCCCCAAAATATAAATTCCTCTATTGCCAGTTGCCCCCATCTCCCTTACCCCTTTGAACTTCCTCAATTGAAACATCAACAAACCTAGGTGAATCAACTACAGCACTATTCTCCAAAGAGTTTTTTTTAACTCACCTCTACAATAGGATGCTCACTTGAGTCCCCTCTGAATGTTGTATTCTTTGTCAATGATGCCTCCTTATTCAACATCACAAGGTCGGATTCATTGTTTCCTCTCTCTAACCTTGATCTTTGAGTAGCCCAATCTAAAACCTTACCAAAAGCTTTTTTGATTTCTTCATTGGCCATATTTGTTACTCATGCACTGCTATAGATTCTCCATTAACCTAATTATTGCATTCCCCTTGTGCCTCCTCGTTCAATGTAGCTGATGGATTTCCTTCTTCTCTAGTCTTCAAGACCTCAGCATTCATTTTTTCTCCAATCGACAAACTCAAGACCTCCTTTTCTCGAAAATCTTCTCCTAACTTTGAACCGGAACAATATTTTGTTATAAACCAAACAAACTCCTCTTTGCCACACACACCTTTATTTCACAATACCTAACCTGGCCCAACATCAAATTTTCGACCCAACTCTTGGGCCCACCCTTTTCCTCTTTTATTAAAGCCTAAAACCCATTTAACATCTTTTTTGAAGACAAACCCAAAGACTTGTTCCTTGGCCCACTAACTTTAAGCCCACGGCACATTAACTGTCCACTAGCAACACTTGCCCCTTCCCCTTCTTTTACCAAACTCTCTGCCTGACCCTCCTTAATCTTTGGCAACTTTTCATCTCCCACCGTCCCACATCCCTTAAACCTTCCGATTGTAAAATTACTTCCATTCTATTGTTGTTTAACCTTCCATCTTCTTCCTTCTGACAATCGCTCACCTTCCTTCCTTTACCCTATTCCTATTCGACTAGTGAATCTTCAACCTATGAAAGCCTCTCAACCAAAGAAAATGTCGGATCCTCTCCTTCCACCACAATTCTTAATTCTTTTTTGTTTTTTTGATAGATAAAATATCATATTTCCATTAACTAAGATTGGTTACATGAATATCCCCTTAGAGAGGCGTGAGGTGCCGCCTCTCCAAATAGAAAACACATAAACTACAACTCAGAATCAACTGGATGTCTCATGAATCAATCAGCATTCTTGAAAACTACAGATGGAACCATGTTTTATTTCTAAAGTAACATCTTTTGGACCTCCTAGAGGTGTCCCCAACTGCACAGGAAATTTGGGTACACCAAGCATACAACAGAATACCAAAGACGTTAATCCAAACAAAGTTTCTTCCAATCGATCCTCTAATCAAATCAACCATTAGGTCCATCTTCTTAATCTCAATTCAGGGCATCTCAATGATCTACCTCCTTTAAACTTTAAAATCTCTTCAGAACATTCCTTCTTCTTGAACATAAACAAGAACAGATCTACATTTAACTTTCTAATACCAATGAAACCAAATCTTCTCCACTCATCTTGGCCCACCTGAACACATCCACTTCATCCAGTGAATAGTTGACAAATCTGCCAATCAAACATGACTCCAAAAACTGTAATCTCTCCTTCAACTTTCCGCCCTCCTTCACCACAACCCCAACTGTTGACATTTAAAAAAAATCACTGCTCCTGTGATTTTAACTGTTCTTCTCACCAATTAAAAAATGGCATACAGAAATATGATCGTGGAAGGAGACTCAAGATTGGTAATCAGTTGGAAGGAAGAAACTGCTGGTCCAATGCATCTACAACCTTTCTTGCTTCTATTTAAAACGTTTCTACTGGAACCTAACTACTAATCCTCAACAATGCTCTCACTCATCTTTGTTTCACATGGTCAAACCATTGCAGTCAACTTAGTCTTGCCTCCAACTAGTTTAATCCCCAAGTCCTGTTGAATGCATTTGTACAAATTTCATCACTCCTAAACTCACAACTTAGTCTTGCCTCCAGTTGAATGAGGGATTTTTAGAAAATTTGGCGTAACCTAAATCACACCCAGCTTTTTATGATCAACATCACCCCATACAAAAACTTACAGTTAACTAAATTCATTTGTCAAGTGTAAATAGACCCAGTTCATGTATATGAAACCCATTCCCATATTTCACTTATGTTTCAATTTTCATAAATAAATATGAATTTATCACTTCACCAGAGGACAAATTAAAGAAAAAATGAAAAAGAGAGCAATGAACCTACAAAAATAATGCAGCGTACAAGATATCCCTAAACAACATTCTTTTGGCAGAACTTTCTGAGGTGGCTCAATCTCTCAAAGTTTTGAAACCACAAACCTACAAAGTTCAAGATTTACAGAAAAGAAAAAGACAAATAAATAAAAGAAAGTACGAATTGTATAACACAACACCATTAAATTATACGGAGGTTCTAATGAAGCCTGAAGAGAAGCAGAAGAGCAACAGAACAGCCAAAGCAGTTCTTAGATAATGATTTAGTGGGAGAGAGAATTACGTCAAGCTCGACCAAGATCCATTCCTTAGTGTTGGTTCCAGTAGACCAGTGGGTTCGAAGGTCAGTATCGAGGACGTGAACAGCCTTCTGAGAAGGCGATTCACGAGACACGCCCTTGATTTTGTAAGATAGGGGCTTCACCCTCGGCTCTAATTCCATCTCCATCGCTACTTCAGCTCTGTTACAGTTGAGGAGTTAGGGTTAGGGAACGACTGGATTTGCCTTTTCGACTTGAACCAGCAAGGTGAAAGACAGAAAACAAGATGAACATCTGGTTTTTTCAAGTTCCATTATTTTTGCTCTTACAAAATGACGCTAGTATTAGTATTCTCGTTTTTTCGATTTCCCACCATTCGCATCTCAATTTGTTGTGGGCTTGGGTTTCTCCCGATGGGGGCACCTTTTTGGGCTTTGGCCTAATACCCTTAAATAGGCCCGCAAATAGATCTGATCGAATTGGATACGAGGTAGAGTCAATTCTATTCAGCGAAAAAAATATAAAATTTTAAAAATCTGTATATGTACCTGTACCTCTGTACCTATTCATTTCATTTTTCATTCATTTATAACAATACCTTATTCCATGTGCCTTAAATATATTTGTCAGTTGGGCCATGTCTTATAAGTTGTTAAATAGGGCCTGCAATTCATGTCTTCACTCGTATACTGTGATACATTATGGATCATTCAATTGTTTTATTCTTGGATAAATGTGCAGAGGTGATCAACGTGCCTATAAGGTATTTTCATACATGTTATTCTAGTGGTGGGTTGATAAATTTTGTTTCCAACTAATTTCTTTATTTCCTTTTAGTTAATAAGTAAGAAGAAAATGTTTTTAGGTATAAAACTAAATTATTTAATAGTCATCTTAGATACTGACTTATGCTATTCAATAGTTAATTGAGTAAATTAACGTAATAGCTTAGTTTACTTCTAACCATTAATAGTAATTATTTTCATGGGTTTTAAGTTATTACAAAACAGGGAACGGTTCTCCAATTCTCCATAAATTTTGTGTTTCATTGGGATGAATTGTATCTATATATAAAGTTGTTGAATGTAATTTTATAATTGATTTAATGCATTAATGTTTCAATCTAATGAATATGCAACCAACATTTTATAATTATAAAATTCAGATATTGGAATTTTGTGAGGATAGTCTTTTTTTATGTATAATATAACTGTCCTAGGATTTAATGCATTAATGTTTCAATCTTGACATTTTGTGAGGATAGTCCTTTTTTCATCTATGCCCAAGATATAAAAGCATAATCAAACATCACTATCAATACCAAATACCCCATGCATCTCATGGGCGTAGATTCAATTCTGATTTGCTTATATACTCTGACTCGAATCGAATCTTATCATCAAATTTGGATTGCAATCGGGTATCAAATAGCATTAAAATTTTAAATTAAAAAATAATTAAAATATTATCTTATTACTAAAGTATACTAAAAATTGCTTTGATATGTCTTATGTCATATCATGACAAAATACATTGAAAATAAATATTATAAAACTTAAACCAATGGCTTTGGTAAATATCCAATTACAATGAATTTACTACCATTTGTTTCATGTTAAATCAAGATATAAAATAATTACATGTCATATGATCTATTTTTCATTGATTCATATTTTATAAGGTTTATTTATCATCAAAACTTTAATAATGTTAAATATGTTAGTTTTTTTATGGGTAAAATACAAAAACACCCATGAAGTTTCCAACAATCATAAAACCTCCCCTCAAGTTTTACTTTATGAAAAATCTTCCCTAAACTTTTGGAAAATTCAATACAAAACCCCCCTTTCTGTTATTAAATCACACGAAAAACATTTGACTGATACGTTATTTGTTTAAATACCTATTTTACCCTTTTGTATATTATTGTATATATAATTTTACTAAAACTCATCAGTAGTTAGATTGGACACAGGAACCAGTTACAGACTAGTAGCATTGGTGGATGAGTAAGATCAAAGCTTCTGTGAGGTACAACTTTGCCATAACGGGTTTGCACACCGTCTCCATTAGACATGTTCATGGGCCGATCCGGGTCGGGCTTTCACTCTATATTAACAGATTTTTCTAAGGCCCAAGCCCGAAGTCTAACTCATGCCACTGCTATTGCTGAAGTGGCTGAATAGAGAGAGAGAGAGAGAGAGAAAGAGAAATTATAAAGAAAAAAATAAAAATGTATATGTTAAATTATTAATATACACACACACACATATATATATATATATATATATATATTCTAATAAATATTATATATTTTATATAATATATAAAATACATATTATATATGTTATAAAATATATAATGCTGAATCGGGCCGAGCCAGGCTCGGGCTAGGTTTTTATGACAAATCTCGAGTCCAACCCGAAACACAATCGAGATTACTGTTTTGGGCCCGAGGTCAGGCCCACGGACCTAATTACATGTCCAAGCCCGACCGAGATGTGGGTCGAGCTGTCAGACTACCCGGTCCATGAACAAGTCTAGTCTCCATGCCATGAAATTGAACTCGAGGGGGACAATGAGAACCCCATTTTAATAGTTGGTCGAAAATGGTCACACGTTTGAATCATCGGGTAGCTGAAACTTCCTGAACATCTGGGAGGTAATTAATTGTATTCACCTAAAACACTATCATGGATGGATGATACATGTCTTTGGGTACCAGGTGTGCCTGCATCAGGCTCAAGTCTCCCAAATATCATCATCATCATCATCAGGATTTAGGCACAGAGGATAAATTTGCAAGTTGGGAACACCAAACCTGTAAAGCAAACAAGACGGATGGTAACCAAATTTTGGGAAAACCAAGCAAGGGGTTTCCATTTGATTTCGACACTTGATCTCTTCATCCTTCTCACCTTTTGGGGTTCTTTAGATAAATCAAAATGTCCTCCCTTCATCCTCAATTCTTGGATGCACTTGGTAAGCACCCGATTGTCACTCTTCTCCCTCTGCAACTGTCCCCAAACCTTGTAGTACCTAAAAACCTTCATTTGAACCAAAAAGATGATGATAAGTGAAGTAAAAATCAACAAGGAAGACAGAAGCCGCCATCTACAAGTATCTTCGTGCGGATCTATGGAAGAGGTGTAGAGAATGGTTAAGAAGAAGTTGTGAAAGACAAGAAAGAAACTATATAATTGGAATATTTTGTATCTTATATTGTCCATTCAGGTTTCTTTTGTGGCGATCCTCTGGCTGAAAAGGTCTTCTTCTCTCTTGAAAAGCAATAAGTGGTTGGGGCTCTGCGAGATTTCCATTAGCGGGTATTGTTGTATTGCCAAGATGGTTTTCATCGCAGAGATGAGTTTTTGTTGATGTTAATCCAAGGAAAGGAAGAGAAATGTGTGCGCAAGAACAGAGCAAAGAAAAATTGTGAATGAGTTAAGGGAAGTGCATGATTGCTTTTGTGAATTTCTTCGAGAGCCTCAATGTTGGTAGAGAACATGATTATTTCTATGGTTTGCTTTATTTTTGTTCCTTTGGGAAAGGAAGGCGTTGGAGAGAGAGAAATATTTGAATTGTTAGGTTACGCGGTTACGCCTCAATTCGATAGAGACGGTTTTGGTGTTGTTGGATTTCTTCATTTCGAACCTTAACCAGGAGAGCCAACACTTTCTCCACTAGCCATTAGAGCTGCCGTTAGTTTTTGCTAGTTTCATGTCATCGGGGTCAAGGATTTGACATTAAAGCCCAAAGTAACATGGGTTCATGTGTCCAGACTAACTACTTATATAAAATCATATACAAAATGGTAAAATAGGTATTTAAAAAATAACATATTAGTCAAATGTTTTTCGTGTGGCTTAGTAACGGAAGGGAGGTTTGTATTGAATTTTCCAAAAATTCAGGGGAGGTTTTTCTTAAAGTAAAACTTGAGGGGAGGTTTTTATGGTTGTTAGAAACCTCAGGGGAGGTTTTTGTATTTTACCCTTTTTGAATGATAAAAATATTTGTTGTGACATGCCATTTTATCAATGGTTCACATTATTTGTTGCACGTGCTACCATTTTATAAGGTTTATTTACCATCAAAACTTTAATAATGTTAAATATGTTGTTTTATTTTTGAAAGATAAAAATATTTGTTGTGACATGTCATTTTATCGATAATTTACTACCATTTGCTTCATGTTAAATCAAGATTTCAATCAATTACATTAAAGATGACATATGATCTTTTTTCATTGATTCATATTTTATAAGGTTTATTTACCATCAAAACTTTATTAACATTAAATATGTTAGTTTTTTAAAGAAAAAAAATATTTGTTGTGACATGTCGTTTTATCAATGGTTCACATTATTTGTTGCAGATGTAGTTGATGAACCATAGATTTTTCCCCGGTAAAAATTCAAACCAACTTTCACTAGGGCAACCCCATCTGAAAAGGATTGTGTGAAACTGAACAGGGATTGCCCAGTAATTTCCCACCATTTTTTTTTTTTTTTTTTTTTGCAATGGTGAGTTTGCAGATGATAGCTACCTCTTCATGAGGGCCATCTAAAAGTTAAAATCTGGTGGAGGCAATCAAACTTTATGAAAAGTCATCTGGCCAATAGGTAAATTTTTCAGTCTGAGATCTTTCTCAGCAAAAATTTTCATCCAAAGCTACAAAAAGCTCTTGGATAGAAGATTAAAAAAAAAAAAAGTAGACCATCTTGTAATCTATCTGGGCTTACCCACAACTGTTAAAAGATCAAAAAAAAGATTTATTCAACCATTTGACAAGGAGAATCCAGTCCAAAACTTCAAAATGGCATGAACTTCTACTTTCAAATGGAGGGAAAGAAGTCCTTCTAAAATCTGTAGTAGCTGCCATCCCGAATTACACTATGTCTTGTTTTTTGCTCCCTAAAGCCATTTGTCATGAGATGAAAATAATCTCAGAGAAGATTCTGGTGGGGATCACAAGAAAAACATAACAAGTTAAATTGGGTAAACTGGAGATCACAAGAATAAACAAAGGTGATGGTGGATTGGGATTTAGAGACCCAATTTGCTTTAACAAGGCCCTTCTAGCAAAGCAGTTCTGGAGACTCTGCACAGAAAAAAAAAACAATCTGTGGTGCAAAATGATAAAAGCAATATACCTAAAAGGAAAAAAATTTCTAAATGATAACTTACCACACAGAGGATCCTGGGGATGGCAAATTATTTTAGTTGGAAGAGAAATCCTCAAGTTTGGGGCTTTTGGAGAAATCAACTCGGGAGAAAAAGGTCAAAATTTGGGGAGATCCTTGGTTAAAGGACACCCCAGACTTCAGGCTAATGGGTCTAAACCCTAGAAACAATGAGCTTGTTTGGGTAAAGGATCTCATAGATCAAGAAAAAAGACGTTG